CCCGGTGGCGCCCGGCGGGCTGAAGGGCTCGCCCGCCCGCGTCGCCGCCTCGCCGCCAAACGCTTTGCTCGCCGCGAACTTCCCGCCACGCGGCGGCTCCTCGGCCGCCGGCCGCTTGCCGGCCTTGAAGGGCGCCGCCTCGGCGAAGCCGTTGTGCCCGTAGGGCGACGCCGGGGACGGCTTGGGCGGCTCGTAGCCGTACTTGCCATAGCGCCCCTCGCCACCCGCCTCCTCCTCGGCCTCCTCGGCCTCCTCCTCGTCCACCATGTCGAAGGCCTTGCGCTTCAGCGAGGCGTCCGGCGGCGCCGGCGGCGGGGCCAGGCCAGGGCTCTGGTAGCTGCCGTAGGTGGCGGCGGGGGGCCGGGGCAGCGGCGTGGGCGCCGCGATGGCAGGGGGCAGGTAGGACGCGGCCGGGTGGACGCCGCCGTAGGCCGCCTGTCCCGTGTAGCCGGCGCCGTAGCCGTAGGCCGGGCCGCCACCGCCGCCGCCACCGTAGCCCGGCACCAAGGCGGAGGCCGGCGGCAGCAGCCCTGGCGGGTGGCCGGGCGGCAGCGAGGCCGCCTGGCCGCAGTAGCCGGCGGACAAGTAGGCGCCGCCGTAGCCCGAGCCGTAGTCTTGGGCCGAGCAGGAACTGCCAGCGTAGACGGGCTCGGGCAGCGTGGCCGGCGCCGCGGGGCCGCCGCTCGCCGCCTTGGCGCCGCCCAGCCCCTCATGGCCGGGGCTCAGCCCGTAGGCGCCGTCGGGGCCCGGCGGCCCAGCCCAGGGCTCCCCGTCGCCCTTCTGGCCGTTAAGGGTGGCGAAGGCGGCGGCATCGCCGTAGGCGCCGAGCACGGGGCGCTCGTAGGGCGAGTCCAGCACGCCCGCGTACTTCTCGGCGTACCTCTTGAGCAGGTTGGAGGCCGTCAGCGCCGAGATGTCGTCGTTGGCCCATGCGTAGTTGAAGCGCTGGCGGCCGCCCGCGTACAGGTCGGGCTTGTGCGCCGGCGAGGAGGTGGTGGACGAGACGTCCAGGTGCTGCTCCGGCCACTGGTTCAGGGACTGGGCATGCTCGGGTGACCAGTGCATCTTCGACAGACCTACGGGCACAGCGGGCACGGCCCCGTGAGACCCTCCTGGCGCCGCCACGGCGGGCTCTGGCCCCTCCATTGCTCCAGCCCCATGGAATAACCCGGGGCGAATCCAGCACGACGCCTCCGCGGCGCCCCCCTTGCTTGTGCGTCAAGCAGCGCTCCAGGACAGCGGGGATGCCCTGCGGAGCATCCCGGCATTCCCACCTGGCCCTGCATCCCGCGGTGCCCACTGCCGTCCCTCTCTCCCATTGTTATCCCAGCCCACAGGCCCCAGGCCCCCCCTTCCCGCATCCCTCCCCCTGCTCCGGCGCACAAAGGCCCCGGGGCGCGCGGAGCCGGGACCCGGCGCGCCATTCACTCGCCGCGCTCAGCCCTTAAGCCACTTTGTGACCGCGGCACAATTAGATTACTTAATGCTTTAATTGACTTATGTGGCATTTGGACTTCCACTTTGGATATCAAACTTCCACAAGAGGATTTAAATGGCGGCTTGATCCAGCCGCCTCCCGACATTTACTCGCCATTATCCAAGTGCTCCTGGCGACTCCGAGACGGGCGGCCGCGGGAAGCGGCGCAGGGGCCGGAGCAACCTCCCATGGGAGCAACGGGCCCCGAGCTATTAGAGGGTTTGAGGCGGGGGAAATTGGGGGCGAGGTCATTAGCTCCTATGGGAAAACTAACTTTTTTGGGGAACGAAGCAGAGCACCAGGGTTTGGACATGCGTTGCGGGGTGCGAACGGGCGCAGGATGGTCGAAGCAGATCCAGGCTGGAAAGAAATTCCAGAAAGGCTGGAATTGCTGCCCGGGCCGCCCAGTTCGCGTCACAGGGCACCGGCTCCACGCGCCGCCGCAGCCCCACGGCCGCAAAGCCCTAAAACCCCCCGAGCGCCGGGCGCAGCGGGGGCAGGAAAGCCCAAACGGGCCCCCCCATCCCCGCGTGCCTAAAACCAAGCGGCGTCGGAGCAGGGGGAGGGCGGCGGGCGCAGGAGAAGTTGTCAGGGCTCCGCAATGCGACGTGAATGAGCCCTGCGAGCGGCACAGATGTTTCAATGCTCCCCTTGGCAGTGTGAGAAAATTACTGTCCAGTGACCAAATGGCCGGGCAGTTTCCCACCCTCGCGCAGGGCCGGTCTGCAAAGCGCAAGACAAAAGGAGGGCGGGGGGGCCGCCCGGGGGAGAATCCCATTGTTCCCTCCCGCTCTAATTATGGAAATCTCGTTAATCTATTCAGCAGCAACCCTGACCTGGGCTTTTGTTAGGGGGCTCTTGAGCTGAGGGCGTCCAACTGGCGGGCGGTTTGCACGGGAGCCGGCGGGGGGAAGCTCAGGCTCTTGGGGTGCTCGGGATCCCGGGGAGCGTCCCGGCGTTGCCGGAGGCTCCGGGTGGATGGCGGGAGCAGGATGCGCTGGGCGGCGCTTGGAGCGCTCTGCACGGTGGCGCTTGCAGCCCGAGCTTGCGGAGCCGCTGCCCCACGCGCTGCCGCAGCGATCCGGCCTCGCCGAGAGGGACGGGATGGGACGGGACGGGACGGGATGGGACGGGACGGGACGGGATGGTCTTAGAGGCCACACGCTCCTGCACTGCGTCTCCCTCCTGCCTTGCTGCTTCTGCCCCTCACGAGCCAGCAGAGCAGCCCACCCGACGTGTCTGCCCTGAGCGCTGACAAATCCTGCCCACGCACATCCCTTGGGTCGCCAGCGATTTTCCAAGCCGGATTTTGCTCCCGAGGAGCCCGGCCCCAGCACCCACAGGCTGAACCACGATGCCGCTCGTGCAAGTCCTTGGCTGTCCCCACGCGCGGCCGCATCCGCACGGATGCGTTCCAGGCGCCGCAGCTCCCACGGGCGGCCCGGGCAGCGGCACAACCGGAGCCGCGCGGAGCTCCTGCTTTCGCCCTGCACTACCGGCGCCGCCAAGCACACGGCAGAGCAGCCTGCCAGGGAATCGCCCGTGCAGGCAGCGGGAGGCAGCGGTGCAGGTTTGGGGAGCGAGGCATGTCCTAATGCAAGAGGCTTCTCCCAGGCCTGTCCCTTCTCACGAGAACTGGGCGAGCAAAGAGCAAGGAGAATTAAACCCAGGGCAGATATAGTGTGATTTTCACCCCTGATGTTCACAGAAAAATGGGTTTGGGGCCCGCACAGGGCACAGCCAAAGCGCAGTTTCCTCTGGGGGCATTTGCGGAGGACGAGGCCTCGATGCCCCTCGCTGTCCCCCCGGATTCCTCCCAGCTCGGTGCACTGCGGTCCACAAGCACTGCAGCTTTGCAGGGATGGGATCCCTGGCAAATCCACGGGGGAGCCCTTTGTGCGGCACGTTTCCCGTCCCCACCCGGCCGCACGCACAAAGGGGAGGCCGCGATCGCCATCAGCGCAGGGTCAGCGTACAGATGTTAAAAGGATTTAGGCTAAATGCGCCGCATCCCGCTCGTGGAGGCCGGGGGCTCCCTGGCCACTCCGGCCACTCATATATCAAGTGCAGAGCAGCTGGACCCCCGGGCGAAATGGAGCCTGGCCGAAGGGCCATTTCCCATCTGTGCTGCTCCGGGATGCGGCCGGACAATAAAAAATTCATACGTATCCGCCTGGGCGGCGGCAGCTGAGCAGCCCCCATCTGTCAAGCGAGACGGCGCCCGGCCGCTGAATGTCCCGGCAGTCCCTGATCCCGGGAATGGCAAGGAGGGAGGATGCTGCTAGGGATTCACTGGCTGAGAATGACCGAGACCGAGCAATTTTGCTCTGCGTTTGGACATCTTAAAATGGACAGGGTTTGGTTGTATCAGGGTCACCGCACACCAGCCTTTCTTCATCCCAATCCTTGCAGTTCCCCAGGCTGGTGCAGCCGGGATCTCCCCAGGGATCCTGCCAACACGGATCACTTTGGGCGCTGCATCCTGGCGGCTCCTGGTTCCTCGGCGTGCTTGGCACAAACCGCTGCCCTCATGGCTTGTCCGCTGCTGTGGTCCACGGCCACTGCTTTCCAGGTCTCCTCAGGATGCTCTTGAGATGCTGGAGAGCCTTCAGCTCCAGATCCAGCCCAGATCCCCCGCAGGACCAAATCCCGCTGCCGCGGTGACATTCCTTGATGTGCCGGGAGCTCCCTGGGGCCCGGCCCCTTTTCAGGGGATTGCATCGCAGGCGAAAATCCATTTCTAATCAGCAAAACAATTTCCCCAAACAGACGCAGCCCCATAAAAAGGTCAGGAGGGCAAATGGGCCCTATTTGCATGCAATTTGCATAACGAGGTTCCCGGCGGCTCCCGCTCCGGCATCCCCGGCGAAGGGGGCACGATGGCACTGGCACCGTCCCTGCTGCCGATGCTTCCCCAGGTCCGGCGGCCAGGGCCCTGCAAAGTCCAGCTGATACCTGCACCAGCCCTTGCTGGCCAGAGAGCATCCCAAAATCCCACGGGGAATTCACAGGGAAAAGCAGCTCCTCATGCATCAGCTAAGGCTGGCGGCGCAACACGGAGTCTGTGGAAAACGGAGGATTTTGAAGGCGTCTCTCTGGTTCATCTCTGCTTCAATGGAAACCACTCGGCAAAGTGGGAGCTCCCTCAAAAGCCAAATCGCTGCTCGGGTGGTTTTCCCAACAAAGTGCCAACAAGAAGATGCTTTTCCCTCCTGGTGCTTCCCAGTGGAGCTGAGCCTGGAGCGGGAGCATCGGGGCCTCTCCCCGTGGCTTTTGTTTGCACAAGCCCTTCGGACTCGCTGACTCCGATTTTAAGCAGCCTGGGAAGCCGCGGCCCCTCTGGCATTCCCGGTGCTAATGGATTTCCCAGGAGTTGCCGGCGTGGTGCTTTCCCAGCTGGAAATGCCCGGCTGCACCTTTGCACATGAGGATGGACAGACGGTCCGAGGACGGACGGACCAACCTGGTTTGCGCTCCACGATGTGGCGCTCCAGCAGGTTTGCACAGCTCCAGCTCCGGGAGCGTTTCCAGCAGCGGCAGGATGGGCAACAGGATCCAGCATCCAGGTGAATCGGTTTAACTCCCGTCAGGTTGCAAAAGCAGGAGCAGGAGGAGGGTTTTACAAGCTCCAACATCGCACAGCAAAATAAATTGCAGTGCAAGGAGCTGCGGCACCGGCATTGTCCGTGCCCGGCACGATACAGACCGGACAGCCCCAAAGGGGAAGGGAAAAGGGGAAAATCGCTCAATTCTGGCCTGGATTCGGAGCCCGGAGCAGTGGGAGAACAGCCCAAACAGGACTGCAAGAACTCTTGGCAGCGGGATCCCACCGGGATGAGCAGCGCCGCTCCGAGCCCGCAGCCTGCACGTCCGGCTGCAAGCCCTGGTGCAGGCAGCAAGGGCACAGGCTTCCCCCCGCTGATTCCCAGGAATGGGAATGGGGAGAGCGGGACAGGCTGCCCGGGGCTGCTGCGAGCCACGCGCTCGCTGGAGCTCACCAAACTCGCCCCAAGCGGCGTGTTTCCAAGGGCAGGAACCCGGGGGTCAGCGTGGCACAGGGGTCACCATCGCTTCTCTGGACGCATTAACGTCATCCGCGGGGAAATTCCCTCCTGGAAAGCGGGCACAAACCAAGCGTTCCCGCCGTCGCTAATTGTGGACTGGGGCGCCGCAAAGACGAGGGTGCACAGGACATGGACACGCGCCCAGGTGGATTTTGCAACGCTGCTGCGGGGGACACCATTAAAACAGGACCATGTAGGAGGTTTTTATTCCTTCCGTTATTGCAGGATCCAGCCCAGCTTGGGAGGCCAGCACCTCGGCAGGGCTTTTTGCTTTCCCCTTTCCGCAGGGGGAAGAGGAGGCAAATTAAGTGTCCAAGCCGTAAATAACACAGGAAAAAGGGGCAGTGCTGGCCATGGGATGGGGCAATGAAGCGCAGGGCGAGTGGCACCACCTTGCCCGAGTGGCACCGCTCCGAGCCAAGGGTGCTGCCAAACACGCTTGCGAGAGGGAACAACCCAGGGAAGCACCAGGAGCTGATCGGCGTCTGCTAACGGGATCCATATGGCCCCCAACCCGCTCACTG